CCATCTTGGAGCGTCGGGAAACAGAAGAGGCAGAACCTTGAAAATCTTTTGAAAGCCTGAGGACATTCAAAGAATTTGCCTCTTGGGGCCCTCTTGAGAGCCCTCTTGGAAGCCTCTTGGCGCGTCCTGGAGGCATCTTGGGCCGTCTGGAGGCCATCCCGGGCTTCTTGGAGCGACCCTTCGGCGAGTCGGGGCCCTCCTGGACTGTCTGGGCGGCCTCCTGGGGCGTCCTTGGCCCGTTTTCGGGACCTCCTGGTGCGAGGGGACCGTCCACCGGCCCACGTTGGCCCCTCCGCTAGCGCCCAGGAACCCCCCCCCCGCTCGCCGCCGATCTGCCATGGCGCCAACATCGCAGAGCGAAAGTTGTTCGGAAAACAACGGTATGGGCCCGGATTGACCTGGAGAATCTCGTTCTGGCTTTCGCGCAGAATTTCGTGCGGATTTTTTGGGGGCCAGGAATGCCCTTGGAAGTCTCAAGCATTTCGCGGTCTGGCCCCGAGCTTTGCAACCCCTTTTCGGGCCCTCGGAGACCAGGACACAGACGAACCAGGACATTGGCAAGTCGGGGAACCCACACCCTGCCCTGCCAAGTCAGAGTTGGTCGTCCGGTGCAGGGTTCTGTTGCTGCTCTGCAGGACTCGGGTCTTTGTCCGGGTCTGGGGTGTGTTTTGCATGCGTTCGGGGCATGTGTTCGGGTTTATTCTGGAAGTGCTACAACGCAGTTTTTGTTTCGTGCCGCCGTCTGGAAAAGATGGGTTCGATGGACGCTGGATGTCCTGGTTTGGCGTGTCCGGGTCTACGGGGCCCTGACCCGTCATCCACCCCTCAGAATTGCATGAGCCTCGGGGCACTCCACTTCGGGCTGAGGGCACGGGGGCGGATGAGACGAAGACTATCATTCATCATCGTAGTACCAAGGAGAAGAAGCTCAGCGGAGGACCAGGGAGAAGAAGCTCAGCGGAGGAGACGGGACCCCGGTACGGGTGCTCGTCCTGGGGAGCCCTCATCACCACGGCGGGACTCTCCTCGACGTGCTCGTCGGAGCGCAAACCCCGGGAGAGGTCATGGGGAGCAGCGCGGGGCCATCGGTGTCTTGTGACGTGCACCCGCGAGCGGCAGGACCACGCAGAGCTCGGGGTGCCGTCGGCCCGAGACGTGCTCGCGTCCTGAGCAGCTCGCGACGCGTTTTTTTTGTTTGTTGCACAAAAGAAAGATAAGCTCATCGGCTCACGACGCGACGTTTGTGGCCGTTTTCGGCCGCCCGGGGGCCCCTCGCAGGGCCCGGGAGCCGTCAACCAGAGACGACTCTGGATGGGAAAGCCGGCCCTGCGGGGAGGATCGAGGCTTCCGGGCAGTCCGTATTGAGCAGATCGAAGCATGGCATGTCTGGGTCAGCATGGGCACGAGCCTGTGGAACTTCGCGCGAATCTCTCAGGTCTGCGCTGGACCCCCCTCCCCTGTCGGCGCGCTCCGCGCGCCAGGGGGAGAGGGAGACCAGCGCCGATCCCAAGAGATCCGCGCGGACCTTCGAAAGTTCATGTATATGGTCTGGAACTTCTGGTTCGCCTGGCGTGCCGCCGGTTCTGGCCCACCACGCTTCAGCGGCGCATGCTAGCCACGTCCCGGCCCCAAGCGTCAATTTATATCCATATCCACTGCGTCTTGGACTTTCTCGGAAGGGGCGCCAGCAGGCCGCGGCGTAGTGGATATGAACAAAGATCTTACCTCCAGGGGCGACAGCGTTTTATCCAGATCCACGGCGCCTCTTGGTATCGGAGGAGGGGAGCCCGAACCTCCAAGACGCAGTGGACATGGATAAGCATCTTGCCCGCATCTACGTCCCGAGCCTCTCCCAGCCTTTCGCCCCGCAAAGCGGAGCGACGCGCCATCCGCCTGCAGGGCACAGCGTGTCGCGCAGGCGCTGCCGCTGTGACCCGCGCAGCGCGAACGTTCCTGACATTGGACGCGCAGTACCCCGCACAAGTGCGGCGAAGAGCGCGACGGTGGGGCCGCTGGGTGGGTCGCGGGTGGGTCGCGGGGTGGGTCGCGGGGTGGGTCGCGGGGTGGGTCGTGGGTGCGTCGCGGGGGGGACGATGACAACAAACAACAAACAACAGCAACAACAACAACAGCACCAACAACAACACCAACAACAACACCACCACCAACAACAACACCATCAACAACACCAGCAACAACAACAACAGCATCAGCAACAACAACAGCAACAACAACAACAGCAACAACAACAGCAACAACAACAACACCACCAACAACAATCACAATAATCACAACAACACCACCAACACCAACACCAACACTAACAACAACAATCACCACCAACTACAGTAACATCAGCAACAACAACAACGGCAACAACAGCAGCAACAGCAATAACAACACCAGCCAAAGCAACAACAACATCGACAACACCAACAACACCAACAAAAACAACACCAACACCAACCACAACGACAACGACAATAACAGCATCAACAACAACATCAGCAGCAGCATCAGCAACAACATCAACATCACCAACAACACCAACAACACCAACACCACCAACAACATCACCACCAACAGCAACACTCATTTGACGACGGTTCTCTCTTATCTGTTCGAGTCTACGTTAAGCCGTATTTCCCAAATCCTCGAACCCCGCCATTTTCGTCTTCGATCGTACCCCTTTTGGGGGGTCAACCTTTCTTCCCTGCAGGTCGGGCCCCGGCAAGCGGCGGGGCGGCCGCGGACCGTCGGCCTGGCCAGCGGCAGCGCTGATCGGCGGCAACCCGACCCCAAGAGGGACGGACAGGGGACCGACCACGACGACGACGACGACGTCGATGTCGACGACGTCGACGACGACGACGACGGCGACGACGACGACGATGACGACGACGAGGACGAGCGAAAGCGAGAGCGAGAGAGAGAGAGAGAACGACAGCGGGGTCACCAAGGTCACGGAGTAGGCCACGAAGGGCGACAGCGGGGCACGAAGGGAATGCGTATGGGGCCACGAAGAGCGCGAACGAGCGGGGGCCACGAAGGGCAAATAATGCGGGGCCACCGAAGGCAACGACGGGGCCGCTGAGGGTAGCAACTGTGACAGCGAGGGGGCCGCGAAGGGCGACAGCGGGGCCACGAAGGGCATGCACATGGGGCCACGACGGGCGCGAACGAGCGGGGGCCACGAAGGGCATGCATATATTGGGCCGCGGAGGGCAAAGACGGGGCCACTGAGGGCAGCAACGGGGCCACGAGAGGCAGCGAGGGGGCCACGAAGGGCGACAGCGGGGCCACGAAGGGCATGCCTATGGGGCCACGACGGGCGCGAACGAGCGGGGGCCACGAAGGGCATACACGTTGGGCCACGAAGGGCAGCGAGGGGACCACGAAGGGGTGCAACGGGGCCACGAAGGGCAGCAAGGGGGAAGGGCAGCGAGGGGCCACGAAGGGCTGCAACGGTGCCACGAATGGCAGCGAGGGGGCCAGGAAGGGCTGCAAGGGGGCCACGAAAGGACAGCGAGGGGACCACGAAGGGGTGCAACGGGGCCACGAATGGCAGCGAGGGGGCCAGGAAGGGCTGCAAGGGGGCCACGAAAGGGCAGCGAGGGGACCACGAAGGGGTGCAACGGGACCACGAAGGGCAGCGAGGGGGCCACGAAGGGCTGCAACGTGTCCACGAAGGGCAGCGAGGGAGCCACGAATGGCTGCAACGGGTCCACGAAGGGCAGCGAGGGAGCCACGAAGGGCTTCGACGGGGCCACGAAAGGCAGCGAGATCCTGTTTGCTAAATAATGTGTGAGGGGGTCCTAAGCGTGAGCGCGACTCCTGGGTGCCTGAGTGTTGGGAGCGCGGCGCTTGAGTAAATTGCGGGAAATTCCAACGCAAGGGCGCTATTCTTCAGTAAATTGCGAGCGAGTCTCCAGCGAGAGCGCGACTCCAGAACGCCGAGAGAACGATTCCTAAATACATTGTCAGGGAGTCCGAAGCGAGAGCGCGATTCCGGAATAAAATGCGAGGAAGTCTCCGGCGGGAGCGGGAGGTTCTGGCTAAATCGTGAGGAAATCTCAGGGCCAGGGGCACAGTTTGAGCATCAAGATTTTCCTTGTCAAAAAAACAGGATGCGAGCGTCGAGGGGCACACTTTGATTGAGAAAAGACAGTATGCACCGGTCATGGGGGGATCATCAGTAAGTATTCTTCAGAAATGAGACTTCAACGACAACAGCAACAACAATAACAACACCAACAACACTAACAGCAACAACACCAACAACCACACCAACAACACCAACAGCAACACAGCACCAACAACAACATCAGCAACAACAACAACAACAGCAACACCACCACCACCACCAACAACAACAACAACAATCGCAACAACAACACCAACACCACCAACAACAGCAGCAAAAACACCACCGACAGCAACAACAATAGCAACACAAACACCAGCAACAACAACCCCAACAACACCAACAACATCACCACCACCAACAACAGCAACAACACCAGCAGCACTAACAACAACACCACCACTATCACCAACAATCACAACAACAACACCAACACCACCACCAACAACAACAGCAGCAGCAACAACAACAGCAGCAACAACACCAATAACACCATTACCACCAACAACAACAAAACACCAACACCAACAATAACAACACCATCGCCAACATCAACAACAAAGCCACCACTACCACCACCACCAACAACAACAACCAGCATCATGCGAGCATAATCTGGGCCACGGGAGCTCCCACCTCACCCACGTATGTGGGTATGGTGCAGGGCCGTTCGTCACCTTCACGGTGATGCGCCGTTTGACGGGTCTCATCTCCGGCTTTTCATCCCGAGTCGTTCTTTGACGCTCTCAGGGCCAGGCGAGAGCCCCTGCGAAAATTGCTGTAAACAACTCGCGTCTTGTTTTTGTTTTCGTTGCGTGGGCAGGTCTGAATTCATGCCGTGTTGCCTTCCTCTCAGGAAGGCCGACGCCAGCGGCGCCGTGCTGTACTTCTGGGACGCACGGGACGGCCCCGAGCTCCAGGGCTGGTGGTTCTTACCAGCCTGGAACATTCACCTATCCCTACGATTGGCATCTCTCGATTTAGATGCCGATCTTAAGGATTCCCTCTGTTTCTGAGGATGCATCCGTAAGATGGTCGTTGCTTCTGGGCTTGTCGATCTTAGGGATAGGGATGAGCTCGAGTCTGGTTAGGTTCGGGTCCGCCGTGGGCGGCGACGCCGTCATGGCCTTCAACGGGCAGGCTAGCGAGGTGCCGCCGTCGGCCGGCTGGACCTGCCCCGTCGGCGTCTCTCTGGACCCCTCGCTGGTGGTGCGGGCGCCCCCGGAGTCGTACACGTGAGATGCGCGGACGACTTGTGTGCACCGTACCGCGCTGGCGCCTCTCGTGGCGTCGTCGATTCTTGACCCAGGAATGGTACGGTGCATCGGTTTTCCGGCCCCCAGAGCCGACTATGTCCGTACCGCGTTGGAGCGGGGTCTGAACGGAGTCCAGACATGGTACGGCGCATGGGCGCCGTTCTCGTATGAGAGGCGCGCGCTGCGCGCGGGGCCGCGCGCGCATGGTTCGAGCGTGCCGTCCTTTAGTCCTGGTCCTGGTGGGGGCCGCGACGGCTGCGGTTGCAGTGGCCCTTTGGCGTGTCAAAAGGCTGTATTCTCTTCCTGTTCGAGGTGCGAAATGCGGCATAAACATAAACTTTCGGAGCTCCGCGCAGATTTCTCGGATCGGCGCTGGGCCCTCCTGGCGGCGCCTCCCGCACCGCCCTTCGCGCGCTTCGCGCGCCAGGGAGGGGTGTCTAGAGTAGATCCAAGAAACCCGCGCGGACCCCACAATTTATGTTTATGTAGTTTTCTTCCTCTATGTTCCGCCCCTCCTTCATTTTTCCAGCACTGGTGCTCTCCAGCGATCCTTGGTCCAGGGACCACGTACTGTTGGACGTCGTCTTGCCAGAGCGCCGATAATGCTGCATGTGCTCCTTAACTAAACATACTACGATGAAGTCCTCGTAAGGACTCGAATGCGGATGTGGATGAGGAAGAGGAGGAGGAGGAGGAGGAGGAGGAGGAGGAGGAGGAGGAGGAGGAGGAGGAGGAGGAGGAGGAGGAGGAGCAGGAGGGGGGAGGAGGAGCAGGAGGAGGAGGAGGAGAGGAGGAGGAGGAGGGGAAGGAGGAGGAGGAGGAGGAGGAGGAGGAGAGAAGGAGGAGGAGGAGGAGGAGGAGGGGAGGAGGAGGAGGAGGAGGAGGAGGAGGAGGAGGAGGAGGAGGAGGAGAGGGAGGAGTAGGAGGAGGAGGAGGAGCAGACGGCTGAGGAGGACGGGGAGGAGGGCGATGACCTGGAGAAGGAGGAGAACCATAGTAAACCCGAGATGCATCGACGATGCTGCGACACACCCTCATATTTCCCACGTTCCCTCTCCATGAGTCCGCACAAGAAGTGCCTCCCCCTTTGATGACCACCACTCTATGGTTAGGTCGGGCATGCCCCCCCACAGGCGGATTTTGGGCGAAAAAGCTAGCAAGACTCAGACAATACCAAAACATAACCAAACACATGAAACAACATAGTCTCCTATACTATTTTCTTGTACTACTTTGGGATATTCGTCCTGTAGAGGGACAGGCCCGACTTAACCCTATGGGCCTGCCACTCAGGCGAGGGCCCAGTTTTGACAAGGAACCATCTTGCGTCCTTCTATCGAGTGCTCGGCCACGCTCGCAGCACAGAGGCGCTCCGTGTACAGTGTGGGCACATGCCAAGAAGCACCCTGCTTGCCTCCAGGGTGCCCTGGGTTTCTTGGGTTTCGATGGTTTTGCCATGGAAGGCGTGACGTTTCCACACCACAAATCGACGGACGTCCTGGGGTCTCATTGTTGGGTTTCTTAAGGAAGGTTTCTTGTGGTCGGGCCTCCACTGTATAGCCTCCGCTCCCATCTCCAAGTCCCCGATCGATGCAGGTGGAATCTGTCACCGGATCTCCGAAGTCAGATTTCAGGCCGCGTTTTCAAAAAACGAAACAAATCTTTCTATCGAGCGATCGGGACAGCGAAAAGATATGACCATACAGCTCAGTGAGGTGTCCAGCGACATTCCCGCTTTCAAAAAGGACCGCCCTCTATCCGTGTCCTTGTTGTACAAGTGCACACCTCGGGCCATGAACTCTTGACACGTTGCGTATCCCCTACCAGCCCATCCAGACACGATCGGAGGCTTTCGTAAGGCCTCTTGGAGGCTATCTTGAGCCATGCTTGGCTAGAGGCTGTCGGAGGCTATCTTGAGCCATGCTCAGCTATCTAGGGCCATCTTGAGGCTGTCTTGAGGCCTCTTGGAGGTCTGTCGGAGGCTAGGCTTCCGACTCGCGTAGTGGAAACGAGTAGGAAAACGCTTGCTGGAACACGCTGCAAAGTCAAGCAGGGCGCTGCAAGGAGGAGGAGGAGGCGAAGGAGGATGAGGAGGAGGACGAGGAGCAGGAGGAGGATAATCAAAAAGAAGGAGGAGGAGGAGGGGGATGAAGAGGAGGAGCAGGAATGCGGTACGTGAAAGACTTCGAGGAGGAGGAGGGGGAGGGATGAGGGAGGAGGGAGGAGGGAGGGGAGGAGGGAAGAGGGAGGAGGCAGGAAAGGAGGAGGGGAGGAACAGACGATGACAGCGAGGATGCTACGTCGGGCTTGAAGATATGTTGTTGTGAGAGGTTCTTGAAGGCCGATGAAGGCCATCTTAGGGGCTGTCTTGGGGTCCACGTGGGGCCTCTTGGGGCACTCTTGGGGCTTGTTTTGGGGGCCTTGGGGCCCTCTTGGGGCTCATTGGAGGAGTCTGGGAGGCCTCGTGGCCCTCATGGCTCGAGAAGAGGGGGGGGATACTCAATTCAGCCCCTCCTCCCCCTCGGAGACTCAGAAATGGCGTCTTGGGGCCCTCTGGGGCCGCTCTTGAGCGTGTCCTTGGCGCTCTTGGGGTCGTCTTGGGGCCCTCTTGAGCGCCTCCTGGGGCTCTCTTGGATCATTTTTGGGCCACCTTGAGGCCTCAAAAGCTTATTAAGCGAGAAAGCGAGAAGGCGAACAGCATGGATTATTTCTTTTTGAAGGATTTCGGCCTGGTGCTTTGGAAGGCTGGAAGGACACTTGACTCTAAAGCGAGCTGAGGGACGTAAGGTGCGGAAGCGAGCGTGCGCCCGCGGCCGCGTCGGCTCAAACGGCTGGCCGCCCAAATATGACTGTGCCTCATTGCGAGGCACACAATCGCTATCGAGACCAAAAGGATCTTCCTATTGCTTAAGGTGGCACGTCCTCTCCTACTGGGACTATCGTTAGTACGGTACAACAGAGCTGGAGCTTGGCTTCGCCTAAGGCGAAGCTGCTGGCTGGGCCTCCCAGCCCCCTTTCAAACTTGGTAGCGGAGCTGGCCTATGGTGGTCAGCTCTTGCTCTACTCCTCGCCATTCACGGCACTATCTGGTGGACTACGGACATGGTGGGACATCAGGGTGCAGTGGGTTTGCGCGGAGGAATGTATATAGCCAAGCAATACCGCAAGGACGCTTGCAGCGATACCTCTGCTCAAGCCGAGGTCTCTCACTTATACCATACATCCCTTCGCTTCTACACTCCTGAAGTCCACCCACCTACTCCAATGGGAAATTTCTTCGAAGATACAATGCGTGGAAACATGCGATATGAAGTACTGCCGCCTCCAACCCCGCGCAGATTTACGGCTACCCAACGGAAGTCCCAACCGACTACATCCGACTACGACCTACGAGGCCATTGGATTGGCGTTGCTATCTTTGGGCTCACATGGGTCGCTATCGGGTGTGCGGTAGGACATCTGCGTTGCGGAGACGACACAAGAACGACCAGCCCTCATTGGGACCCAGCCGGTCAAGTACCTTTTCGCGAATTTGTCCGCGAAGTACATGCCTGGATCAACGTGACCGCAGGCAATATGACGCCCTCCCAGCAGGTTGCAGCTCTGCAGCGAGGTTTGGGAGGTCTCGCACGGACCATAGCCATGAGGGTCATTCCAGCAGTTATTATTTGTGGCGTCAACATAGGTGGCCGCCATACTGACGGCGTCACCTACATCATGTTCCTCTTTAGCATGAAGTTCGAGAACTTGGAAGAGGAACGCCAACTCAACTCTGGTACGGCTCTCATTGATTTCCGAGTCCATGCGGGAGAACGTATTGACCAGACGTTAGCACGGTTTGAGATAGCCCGCTATGAAGCTGAAACAGCCGGCCTCAACATCCCCATCTTCCAAATCCTAACAGTGATTCTATTCAGAGCTCTTGGAGTGGGAACATCGCGTGCACGACAACCACCATATGCCGAGAGACCAACAACAATTTGACGCTCTACTTGAACGTATGAGGTCATATGCTCACATTGCTGAGAGAATCCCTGGCAATATTGGTGGTATTTTCAGTCACGGTCCACGTGGAGGCAAACGCAGGGCAGCCTGCCAACAACGTCTGGAATGATGATCCACAACCGACTGAGACCGCTACACTGTTGGCTCAGAATGGTGGAACGGCTTCGGGGTTGCAAGACTCCTGGGCCAGGCTTCGGGGGCCGCCCGACTCGGTCTCCCCCATGCAAGCCATGGCCCTCGTGGGCTCAGCGGGGCAACCCGCCGAGTCCGACTTCGACTCTGGCACTGATACCGACCGTCTTCAGATGACGAAGCTGCCGCCCTTGATTGCGAAAGTGCGCCAGAACCCCCCTCTCCCCTCCCCCCCTTCAAGGGCGGGGGGGGGGGCCGGACCCCCCCCCCTTTCCCCCTTGATGGGGGGGGGGGGTGGGGTGGTCTGGACCCCCCCCCCCTTCCCGCCTTGGCGCTGGAAAAAGAGGGGGGGGTTCGAACCCCCCCCTCCCCGTTTGCGCCGGAAAGGAGCTGGGGAGGGGGGGCCTCTCTCGCTTTTCTTTCTGCACTGGAGAAGGTGTGTAGGGAGTGCGGAGTTGGGAGTAGGGAGTGGTGAGTAGTGAGTAGTGAGTTGGTGCGTAGTGAGTAGTGAGTATGTATTGGGTACTGAGTAGTGGGTAGTGAGTGGCGAGTAGGGAGTAGGGGGTAGGGAGTGGGGAGTAGTGAGTAGTGAATAATAGTGAGTAGTGTGTACTGATAAGTGAGTAGTGAGTAGCGAGTAGTGAGTAGTGAGTAGTGAGTAGCGAGTAGCGTGTAGTGAGTACTGAGTAGGGAGTAGGGAGTAATGAGTAGTGGGTAGTGAGTAGTGGGTGGCGAGTAGTGATTAATGAGTAGTGAGTAGTGGGTAGTGCGTAGTGCGTGGTGTGTAGTGAGTAGTGAGTAGTGAGGAGTTAGTAGTGAGTAGTGAGTAGTGAGTCGTGAGTAGTG